ACACTGATAAGGCCCAATCAGTTCATTGACGGTGGGCTTCAGTCTTTCACACAATACGCTCGATAAGACCTTGTAACCTATGCTTAGAAGGCTGATCCCGCGGTAGTTGGCGCGAATGGCGGGGTCACCTTTCTTGTGGATTGGGCAGAGCACACTTAAATTCCAGTCGTCGGGCATGCGTTCATCTGACCATATTCTGCACAAGAGTTGATGCATGCACCTTATCAACTCCTCGCCGCCGTACTTGAATAGCTCAGCTGGCAGGATGTCAGCTCCAGCAGCTTTGTTATTTTTCAGCCGCGTTATTGCTATACGTACCTCGTCATAGTCAGGCGGTGGAACGTCGACTCCGTCATCATCGACTGCGGGCTCGGGTTCTTCTTCTCCACAACTTTCTGTGCTGCTGCCATTTAGTAGGGCGGAAAAGTGTTCCCTCCATAATTTAAGTACGCTCTGGACATCAGTTACTAGGTCGCCATTATTGTTCTTACAGGAGTGCGCCCCGGTCTTTAAACCTTCCGTAAGTCGCCTAACTCTCTGGTAAAATTTTCGGGCATTCCTCCTGTCGGCCAGCATTTCAAGCTCTTCGCACTCACGTATTTCTGCCTCTCTCTTCTTGTTGCGGCAAATACGTCTCGCTTCCCTCTTCAGATCCCTATAGCGGTCCCACATAGCGCGCGTTGCGCCCGATCGCAGCGTGGCCCTGTAGGCGGCATCTTTTTTCTCTGCAGCTTCCTGACACTCCTCATCGTACCAGTTGTTCTTTCGGGCTCGCTGAAATCCGACTACTTCTTCGGCGGCGGTACTTAATGAGCGGGAAATGTGGTTCCACTGCTCGCATATGTCTGTTTGTTGAAGAGTGCTCTCTGAGAGCAGGTGTGAGAGTCGAGTAGCGAAAGCGCTGGCTGTCTGTTGTGATTGCAGCTTTTCGACGTTAAGCTTTCCTTGCATATTTGGGCGCACATTTTTTGCTGCACATAGGCGGGTGCGTATCTTGGCTGCAACAAGATAGTGGTCCGAGTCGATGTTTGGGCCTCGGAGTGTGCGTACGTCTAAAACACTGGAAGCGTGCCTTCCGTCTATCACAACATGATCGATTTGGTTTCTCGTTTTTCGATCCGGAGACAGCCAGGTAGCTTGATGGATCTTTTTATGCTTGAACCTAGTACTGCATACTACCATGTTTCGGGCCCCGGCGAAGTCGATCAGCCTCAATCCGTTGTCGGACGTTTCGTCGTGGAGGCTGAATTTTCCGACGGTGGTTCCAAAGATCCCTTCTTTGCCCACCCTGGCATTGAAGTCGCCAAGCACGATTTTGATATCATGACGGGGGCAGCGCTCGTACGTGCGCTCCAAGCGCTCATAGAAGAGATCCTTGGATGTCTCATCCTTCTCTTCCGTCGGGGCATGGGCGCAGATGAGCGAGATGTTGAAGAATCTCGCTTTGATGCGGATTGTGGCTAGACGCTCGTCCACCGGGGTGAACGACAGTACTCGGCGACGGAGTCTCTCTCCCACCACAAATCCAACTCCGAATTTGCGCTCCTTTACATGGCAGCTGTAGTAGACGTCGCAAGGCCCCAGACATTCTTTGCCTTGCCCCGTCCAACGCATTTCTTGGATGGCGGTGATGTCAGCTTTTGTCCTTACGAGGACATCAACCAGCCGGGCAGAGGCACCTTCCCCATTAAGGGTCCGGACATTCCAGGTGCATGCCCTCAAATCGTAGTCCTTTAAACATTTGCCGTGGTCGTCATCATAAGGGGGGGTCTCATCCGAGGCTTTGCCTTGCTTCTTCACTGGAAGTGGTTTTTACGTGGCGGGTCCCAAGCCCAGCGCACAACCCATTGCTGCACAACCCATTGCACTACGTTCAATGTTCTAATATCTACTTAATTTACGAAATTTTTAAGTAATAAAAACGATGAATTAAGTTGATTATTGCTTGTTTAATGTTATTCCTAACATTCGCATTGGCGAATGTGAAAAATATGACATTCGAAACTTCCCTAGCACATACATATAAGTAAGTATTACTGCTTAAGCGTCGCATTCGATTACGGCAATTCCAACATTTCCACCACCATTACGAAGTAGTGTTGGAGTAATTGCCTCTGCTAGCATTATCAGTGCAACTACTTGCCACCACCACTGCCACCGCCGCTGCCGTGGCGCGCTATCGCCATCATCATCAGCGGCAATAGTGACTGAATTGCATGTTGTCACTCACTCATGCCACATCATTGCCGCATGCCACATTGCCGTTCACCCCCTTTACCATTGCCGCATACTTTCATAGTCAGCGCTTAAGCGATTGGTAGCGCGCAACCTTTTGATACCGCCAAATAGCGGTTACCCAGCAAAAAACACGATTACCTCAGAAACGTAAGTGGCTCCTGGTAAGCAATACTTTGACGTGGGCATGGGAATTTGCATTCCCTGTAATGGGTTACAATAGACAATTAAGACTGAGACTATCAGCATATTCTCATATCCGGTTAAGCGTAGGGATATTCGTGTATCTGGATAAAATCTGGATAATACGGATAACAAACGAATAAGCGGGTACTCCGGTCTCTCTTCTTATCCATTGACTAGGCGGTTACACGGTTAACAACCGTTCATTTTGCTATCCGGGTTATCTGGATATTCAAAAAATTCTGATAGAACACCCAGCCCTATTCTAACAGGGCAATTCTGACAGCTGGCTCATAACGGTCTTTCGAAAACCAACAGTCTTTTGTAAGTCAATGGGCGAATTGTGGCAACTATCTTCAAAGCTCTTTTCTATCCTTCGAAAGACTGATTGAAAGATCTGCTATCGAGGAGGTTTGTTGTTAGCAATTCGTTTTTTTTAATTCTATTGAATAAAAAAATTATATGTCTTTCTTTTTAAAACTATAAACACTAAACATTAAAATTGAAAAAAGAAAAAATGATAATTAAATGAAATTTCATAAAATATATTTTTAATAATAAAAAGAAAAAAATAAAATAATTTCTTTTAAATAAAAAGAAATTAAAAACAAACATTTTTTAAACAATAAAATATTAAAATTAAATTAAATTAGATAATAATAATTAATAGAAAAAAATACACTAAATTTAAACAATAAACGCTAAAAATATTAATTAAATTAAAGTAAAAAACAAAACAAATTAACAGTTTATTTAATTGAAGTTAAAAAAATATTTTTCTTTATTTATAAACAGCGAAAATAAAAGAAATACGTTTCTAAAAATTAAATTAAATCAAGAATTTTTTCTTTTTAAAACACAAATATCTTAAATTTAAAATAAAATTAAATTAAAAAAAAAAAATTTAACTAAAATAGAAACAATAAAAAAAATAACTTTCTGAAAATTTATTTATATATATATATTTTTCTTTTCTTTTTAAATAATAAAAATTTTAAGAAATATTTTACTTTATTTATAAAAGGTGAAAATAAATAAAATAAATTTCTAAATATTAAATTAATTTTTTTTTCTTTTTAAAATAATTAAATCTTGAAAGTAAAATTAAATAAAAAAAGTTTAACTAAAAAATAAAATAATACAAAATACTTTTCCGAAGATTTATTTAAATTAAGAAAATATACATTATTTTTTTAAATAATAAGATTTAAAAATTAAATTTAGAAAAGAAAGAAATATTAAGAAGATTCAAACAAATTCTGCTGCTCGGTGATTCGAAAAGTTACTCCAGATTTGTTGTTGGGTACTTGTACATTTATTAGTGTGGTCCAAAAATGCATTTGAAACAGTAAATTCGGAATTTTAATGCTATCGCCCACTAGGATCGTTGTATACCGACAAAATTATACACCCGTTTTGTTTTTTTTTTTAATCAAAAAATATTTAGAGGTCGCTCAAAGCGCTCAAAATATTTAATGCATTTTATATTGGGAAAAAAAACATTATCCGTGGAAATGGCATACGATTCTTGAAAATCAAGATTCTTCGATTAGAAAACTCTGTTTATCTTCAGGAGACTTTCAGTTATAACACCCAATTGTTTATTTTACCATTTTTTAATACTAGCGATTTTTTATGAAACCCCCATTGATTTCTTTTTTGGGGTGTTTTTTAGGGGTGCTATGAAAAATAGTTAACATTAGGAAATGGTTAAATAAGTGAATAGATATTGAAGAGAATATAGTCTTCTGATCGACAAGCAATGAGTTGCAAGAATTCTATACCATTACGAAAAATACTTTTTCACCATATAAAATACATAGAAAACTTTAAGCGTTTTGAGCGACCTCTAAATATTTTTTTTTGATTTCAAAATAAACAGGCGTATAATTTTCTCCGGTATACCACAGTCCTAGAGGGTGAGAGCATTAAAATTCAGACTACTTTTTTACCACCCTACATAAAGTATATATTTGCATATGTGTGAGTATGTATGTGTGATTACATTTGTATAACTACGCGTTCAAAGCCCGCGTTTTTAAATATCAATTTTTTATGCGCTTTCGGTTGCTGTTTGCGCGCGCCCTACCCCTCCACTTGCGCTGTCCGCTACCACAATCGCTTTGTTGGCCGTTACCAATATACCAATAATACGATTGTCGTCTTCTTAGCCTATTCAGCGCAAAGGACACACATACATACATACATACATTGGCTGCAAGCTTTATCTATGTATTAGTTAGCTCACACTGGTAGGGGATAGTGCGCGTCCTCTTTCTGTTTTTTTTTTTTTGCTTATTGCTCATTTTCTTTTGTAATTTTGCGCTTTTTATAGAAGTTTTTGTGGTAGCAAATAAAAATTTAGTTAGTCACTCGTCGTCAAGGATACGGTGCGTTTCGTTTCATACGTTTGTCGGGTTTGTACCAGAATTTATTGCTCGTTTTTTTTTACATTTTCCACAGATGTTCTTGTTGTTGCTACTATTTTTTTGGTGTAATATTCCATTTTTCGTTTGCAAGTTGAGAAATTAGTTAGGCGCCAGTAAACCGCCACATACATACATACATATGTACATACGACGATTATTAGTCGCGTAGTCTTAGTTACCAAAAACCAAATCAAATCGTGCCACAAATTGCATAGATACATACATACATATGTATGTACATGGCTCACACAAACAACACAAAGCATTGCAAGTGTTGAGGCGAAAATTGCACAGCAACAAAAAAGTAGTAGGCAGAAAAAAAAACTTGAATTGTCGCTGCTTTACCAAAAAAATGTGGTAGAATTCGTGTTCGGAAAGTTTTTTTTTTGTATAATGCCAAAAAGTTAGTGAAGCAACGACCGTAATAATCAAGCGGAAAGCGCACGAAGCAGCTTGGGAAAGCGGCTGCAAATGATGTGTCTACGCCACACCCACGCATACTCAGCTACGTCAGCGCAGTCAGCAGTTAAGCAGGCGCTCATTTGGTCCGCATCGAATTTGGAACTGAGGCGAAAAGGTTGAAAATATTTCCACCTTTCGCTGATCCTGTCAAGTGCAGTGCACTTTGCCAACGAAAAGTAAGTCACAAGCCAATGGCAGTAAATTTAGGAATACATTCAAATATGTATACAAATACTCACACACATATGTACGGACATACATGCATCCATACATACACACACACATCAAAGCAAACGTTACGCGAATTTTGCTTCGGAAACCTGCGTCAGCGGAAATTCTCCACACAACCAACGAACAATAAGAAAACCCAAAAGCAACAATAGCCACTCTGCATACTACACCAAATTTCAACTAGCTTTTAAATTGCGCTTTACTTCACCTATTCTATCTTCTAACCTGCTTGCTAACGTCTATTCGCTTCCGGTTAGCGGCACAAATTGCGTTTCAATTCCGTTTACTTTCTCACACACACACACACACACACACAAATATGTGTATTTCATGCTAAAAATAAGTGCTACATTTCATTGCCTGCGTGTTCCGTACTTGTCCAATTGGCTTGCGCTCCTTAGCCAACAACAAAAACACTGGCAGCAGCAGCAATAACGGCTGCGAGCGTACCTGTCGCTGCAGGACCCTCCCTCGTTCGCGACTAATGACAGCCACAGCCGCGCTAGCAGCGCTATTCTGTCAGTCAGCCATCCTAGCCTTGCAAGGGCTGGCCTGGCCAGCTAGTACGTTCAGGCAATTCGAATTCAGTCAGTTAGTTTAACGTTTACACTTGCAGGGCTAACATGTAGTCCTGCGCCACCAACGCATTAAACAGGATCAACGATTTTATTTTTTGTAATTCTTACTTTTTGCTGAAGAGTTCTTTTATGTGATTTTAAGTTTTTGTTTTAGTGCTTGTGTATATTTTTGGTGCAGGCGTGTCCAAAAAAAATATAATTTTAAATTATTTTGTGAAAAGAAAATTATGTGTTAAGGGATTTCGCTTTGCAGTACATTTCAAATACCCGTAACTACTGGGAAGTTTTTTTGCAAATTAAATTTGGGGTGAGTTTTACAGCTTTTTTCAATTGACTCGTAAAAATATTTTTAAATATACCTTTGACACATACCAGCTTTTCCTCGAAATTGACTTTAATGTCGTTGAAAATTTTTATGTAAGATTTAAAATTGATTTTCAAAATTAAAAACAATAAAATAAAATTAAATGAAAAGAATTTTTAATTTTTTTTCAATCATGCATTTTTAAGAAGCTGAGTTGACAAAATTAAAAAAAAACTGTTATTCCTTGAAGATTTAAAGTTGATTTTCAAAATTAGAAATAACTAAAAAAAAATAAATAGTGTTTTGAAAAATTATTTTTAAAACGCATTTTTAAGAGGTTGAATTCTCGAATTTAACAAAGCTGTCAAAATTTATATGTAAAATATAATCGAGTATTCCTAGTTTTCGTTTTAAAGAAATTCTATATTTATTTGCATAAAAAAAAATTACGATTTTAACTACAATTTCGAAATTTATATAAGAAAACTTTGCATTTTGTTTAATGGTTTTTAATTGTATACAAAAAAATCACATGCAGATCCTTGGCACTGGGAGAATTCACAGTTGACTTAAACTATAATCTGTGGTTCTTTGGGTGCCAAAGCTCAGTGTGTCGATCGCACCACAAAATGCTGAAAGATCATATTCAGCGTAATTCAATAAGACCGCAGTATTTCTTTAACAAATAAAACGCAACAAAATTTGCCGAAATTACTTTTTTTATTTGTTTTTTTTTTAGTCTATGACATTTATCTATGAAACAATGCGCGTATTTTCAGCTCTGGAATGGTCTCGTGGTTATTAGCGTAGACCACAATTATCACGGAGCCTGACAATAGAATTTTTTAGGCATACAAACATAGGTCCGTTGTTAAAAAGTCCGTTGAACGGTGTTGTAGAAAAGGTTAAACTGCTGTGCACAACGACGAATTGAGATTGTACCGGCATGATCCACACTTTGTTCCACAGCAGCAATATTTTCGGCCGAACGACGCACGGGTGTTGCCACGTTTTGCACCTACACATTTTCTTAGAATTTCTTCATCGAACGGCTGATTGTTGACTCAGATGGCCAGAATCACTAAGTTTGCCAAAAACCTTTAGCACCAATCGTCTAAAAAAAATATATAAAAAACATGAGCATATCACAAATAATTGCTCTCAAAGATTTGCATCATCCTATAGTAGTAACAAGTAAGGAAATTAAATAGGGCGGAGGCCTACTTAATACACCACGCGGACCAGTTTATAGTTATGTATTGGAAATTCGATTTATACTAGAACATTTCCAATAACCATCATTAGCATGGACACAGAGCGGCTGGACGGCCTGCCATATACGGGAAGTGGGCGTGGTTTGTCCTACTAGTGAAATGTGGGTGTGTACTGCGCTCGATAGTGACAATCGTAAACAAGCAACTCGTCACGTAATAATGCATATTACAAAAAACGTGATAATAATGACTAGGGAAGACAAAAATATGCAAATGCATATTATGACTCAAAATGCATATTTTGGCGAAAATGAATTAAAATGCATAAAAATGATTATTTTGGTAATAAGTTAATTAATTTTCGCATAATTTTGTCTGACAATACCTTTTCCATGCCAATCCCTGGGCAGATAAAAAGCTGATACGCGAAATGGCGAGCTACCGTTGGATGTGTCGAACATGCACTACCTTGAATTCAGTGGATGTATTGCGAAGTTGCTATAAAACAGTATTTGTAACTAAACACGATTTCACGGGCATTTTAAACCCTAATATAAAAAACTATTATTATGAAAAATATTACAATTTTTGTTCGTTTTGTGCAATCAAAAGTCTCTCCATAAACTTCTCAATAAATGCCCACACATGTTTACGTCACAGTGACTCTATGGGAAAATGTTATATAAAAGACAGACTTTGACAGCGCTCTCACGAGAAAAGAGTTTCATATCGAGTTATCTATAGCTCTGATCCAATACTTTTCGTGTAAAATCCTGTAAAAATGTCAAACAGCCAAATTTCTCTCTGAAGTGAGAGTACAAATTGAGCAACAACCAAAAAGTACGGGAATAAAAAAAGAATTTTTCCTGTAAAAACGTCAAACAGCCGATCGCTGACAAACAACTGAAAGTCCCGTTATATTCTAGTAAACAATTTTAATATACCCATAAAAACATTTCGACTGTTGTTTTCCAATAGCTCTAAACCGGTTTTGGTGGTTGAAAAATTCAATACAAATTTTTCGTTTTTAGCGAAAACTGTTTAACAGTTTCCAGGTGTGTTGCGAACTGAGCAGAGAGTTTTATTCTGCGTCTATTGTAACTGCGCATAATTAGCAACAAAAATATTTTGAGTGATGCAATACTTCATTAAAATGTTGCAATATTTTCACCCGGATAGTTGTCAACTTTTAAATTCTGTCCAACAAAGTCTTGCGACGTAGAGCGTTAATTTTCAATACTAACATACTATATTTATGCACAGACACTTTTTATGCGAAAATCGGAAAAATTTTCGTTATATATGTACATTTTTGGGGCATATATCAAGCATATTTTTAATATTTTGATGTCATTTTAATGATTATATAATTAAGTTTTTTGTGCATATTTTAGTCTTCCCTAATAATGACACATATTAGATTTCAACTTTTTTCTGTAAGTGAGCAATTAATCAAAACATCAAATGCATTACCTGGAAAATCGTGTTTTTTGAGATAGGACATGTCTTCTAGTAAATAAGCTGTACTTTTAGTCCTGACAAATAACCAAAAATTTAATTCTTTATTAAAGTAAAAAATAATAGGACTGGTACTTTTTAACCGAAAACAGTACCTTTTTGTTAATATTTCGGTACTAACAACTTTTTACACTTTTCTTTTAAGTGGCAACCGTAGTCATAATTATTCAAATTTTTTTTCAGGCGACTAAGATATTTTTTATTTAATTTTTGACATCCACCTGCTTGCCAAGTTTCGGGCGGATTTCCTTTTAAACATCGATAATAACCTTGCTTCGATGATACAACATGATCTCTTAGAAAAGCAAAACATCAGAATTACTAAAGCAGACCAAGTTAAAAACCTAACGAAAAATTACTACACAGCAACTTTCTCAACTGTTAATATGTTTCCAAAGCGTAGAACACTACTTTTTTGCGCCTACTGAACATTTTGTAGAACGATTTAGTTCTCTAAAACAAATTTTTAAATAGCGTTAAGCAACTTTCAAAGAGATCCAACATTTGTTCCGTTTAACATTCAGAGTTTAGAACTTTGTACGAAAAAAAAATTTCCCGAAAAATTGTATCAGAAGTGTCTGAAGGCAAAAGCTGTAGGACAGTTTACTCAGGGCCATTTTGTAAAAGGGAGACTGCTCAGACTACTTCATTACTTAAACCAATTTTTTGAAGGGACAATTAAATAAAATTGGTGGAAGAAAGGACTCCGATTCACTCGAAACACACATATTTATTTACAGATAGTTCTTAAATGATTGAGATAATGGACGCTTCTGTGCTCAGTTCAGAGTATTTTTTCAAAAGGGGAACAATGCCTCGGCAAAAGCATTAGAGTCAGCTGAAAAGCGAACATATTGATTGACAGTCAGGCTACCATCAGGGTAGTAACTGGAGTGATGAAGTACATGCTCTGTGTAGAACAAAAATAGTTGAACTCTGTATCAATATTTAGATGGATAAATATCTATTCAGTGTTCGCTCTTGGTGGATCTTAAATCTAGTTGTAGTCTGTGTTACAGATCCATGAGGACCTCAGCCAAGCCAAGTATGTTTTGCAGTTAGTTATATCAAATTACATGTAATAAATATGATTCGATTTTCGAAGGAAAAGCGAAAATTTTAGGAAATGAAAAATGGCACTGAGCATGGCACAACGTCGAGGCGGGTATGCCGACCTTAAAAGGTCGACGCACAGAATTTCTACTCACTCCGTCTCAGTAAACCGGAAATTCGTTAAACAACGGCATATTTGGAGGATACTACGGTTTTTTTACTACTAGAAGGATTGAGTGTGAAGTCCTAATTAAATCGGCGACCTAATTTTATAATAT